CCCTGCTTTCTACAATGCAACCATTGTTGCTCTGATCTAACGCCCTACTCATTACTGCCCCTCTTTCATTGATATTAGTGCCTGCATCTCTGTCTTCTCTATCATTATTCTTTTCACCATATGTATTTTATTCAACAGATATTTATAGAGGGCCTATTTTGCATCAGGCACAGTTCCAGCTGCCGAGGGTACAGTGATGGACCAAAAGAAAAATTGAAATCCCAGCCCTCACTGAGCATGCATTCTATTGAAGCGATAAATACGTACATATGCATTTATCTATATAGATACATACATACAGATGTATATACGCACTATACTTTTCTCCATATTTCATATATCTGTGTATCTTCCATATGCTTCTAATATATATATATACACACACCTTTAATTTTCACATATATTTTATACTCTTCTATTTTATATATACTTCTACTTTTCATATATATTAGAAGTAGTGAGAAAAGTAAAGCTGGAAAGGAGCTAGGAAGGTCATAGGGGGTAGGGGGTAAAAATGTTTTAATTTTTAATAGGATATTGAAGGAAGCCTGCAATGAGAAGGTGACAGTTGAGCAAGATGACAGCTAACAGAGAAGGGCATGCATATGATGGACAAAGAGAGTTCCAGGCAGAATCAACCACAAATACAAAATCATTCAGTCTGGAATTTGCCTAGCACATTCAAGACACAGTGAGAAGGGCCGACCCAGTGGCGTAGTGGTGAAGTTCATGTGCTCTGCTCTGGCGGTCTGGGGTTCATGGGTTCAGATCTTGGGCACAGACCTACACACTGTTCATCAAGCCATGCTGTGGCAGCATCCCATATACAAAATAGAGGAAGATTGGCACAGATGTTAGCTCAGTGACAATCTTCCTCAAGAAAAAAGAGGAAGATTGGCAACAGATGTCAGCTCAGGGCCAAGCTTCCTCACCAAAAAAAAAAGAAAGAAAGAAAAAGAAACTATATAAGAAACTGCCAAAGAGTTTTCCAAAGTGGTTATTCAGTTTTGCCTTCTCACCAGAAGCCAGTGTGGCTTGAGTGGAGTAAGCAAAGTGGATATAGAAGATGCAGTTAGAAGGATGAAGGAAGAATACAATTGGTAGGCTATGGTAAGGATTTGGAAGTTAGGTGGGATGTGAAGCCTCTGTTGGGTTTTGAGCAGAAGACCAATATTATCAGGCTTATGTTTGTAAAGATTTTCTCAATACCTTCTATCTTGAGAATAGAATAGATGACAAACTTGTTGGCAAGTTAATGCAATAATTTGGGAGACATAATTCAGGTGATAGTAGTTTCATTCTGTGAACATTTTTAAGGTACAGCCACCAGGATTTGCTGATTAATTAAATGTGCAGTGTGAGCAAAAAGATAATTTATTTGTGCTCAAGGTTTGGGGTATGGGATAAGTAGAAATATGGAGACACCATTAACCGAGACAGAGAAGGCTGCAACAGGAGCACATTTGGGGGTGAAATTGGGAACTCAGTTTTAGATCGCTTTTCTTGGTGACCTCAACATCTGCATGCAGCACTTTGGCTTCCCAGTTTCGTGGCATCATCAGCCAAGAAATCTTACACTCTACTCTGCCTATGATGCCTATTCCTAGAATGTGGCCCTCAGCGTCATTTCCTGGATCTTGTCTTCAGCAACAATTGCTCCACCTTCACCGGATTGATTTCAAACATCCCACTCTCTGCTTAACACTTGGTAATCTCTCATTCACTCTTTAGTGCTTTACTTTCCCCTCTCCTTTGCCCCATTGGAAAATCCAAACTATTGACCTCACAATGACATTGCTATTGTCCTGTGCTGCTCTTCATGTCTCCACAAGCGTCCCTACCCACCTTGGATGCCATGGCCCATTATTATACTGACACCTTTGCTTGCTCATTCAGGTCACTTTGTCCTCCTTCTCTTGTCATACTCTACATCACAAAACCCTGTCCTATGAAATCCCAGCTCTCCACTACTCTGTTACTATACTTGAATATAGTTGGTGAAAAATTCAAAAGTGTGCCAAGTAGTCTCACTTTAAACTTATGATCACAAATATCTGATGGCCACTCAGCTCTGCTTAACAGCCCTAATTTATGTCCTTGACAAATCTTCCTGTTCACTTTTTGGGATGACTATTTTATATGTTCTCAGATCTTCCAAACATCTTAATTCTTCCTTTCCCCTTTTATCAGCTGATGATCATGTTTCTTATTAAACCTAGAAAATAGAAGAAGCTATGGACTTCCTCATCTCTCTAACCTCACATCTACCATCCTGTCTATATCTGTACCTGTATATCTTTACTTGCCTCCAATTAATATGGATAAACATACCTCTTCCTATCTGAAGCCAATTCTCTGAACTGGATTCTTTCACCTCTCACCTATTAAAGATTTTTCTTCTTACAATTGTGTTTTCTGTCACCTAAATCTTTATCTCCTCATCTACTAGACTATTCTCTACAGCATTTAAGCATACCATAATAAAATCTATCTTTAAAAAATGCCTACATTTCCATTTACCCACTTCCCTATTTCTTTGCTTTCCTTTACAATGCAACTCCTCAAAAAGTTTGTTATGTGTGATTCCAATTTCTTACTCTCAGTCTCCCTTTAACACATTTTGATTAGAAACTTCCCCACCAAGCCACTGAAGCCACTCTTTTCAAAATTATTAACAACCTCCATCTTGCCAACTTCAGCAACTAATCCTCGCCTCACCTTACTCAAAATCACCACAGCATTTGACATAGTTGGTTTCTCCATCTCTCTTTAAACACTTCCTTTACTTGGTCTCCAGGGTACCACTCTTTCCTAGTTTTTCCCCCTACCTCTCTGGTGACAACTTCTCAGTCTCTTTTGCAGGGTCTACCTTGAAGTACCTCAGGGCACAATCCTCAGCCTTCTTCTCTCTCCACTGGCTTCCTTGGTGATCTCACCCTGTGCACATCATTGTAAATACTATCTGTATGCTGAGTGCTCCTAAGCACCACAAGTGTATGTTCAGTTGCCTACTAGGAGTCTCCAATTGGATGTCCAACAAGCTTCTTGGTCTGAACAAGGTCATAAGAGAACTATTGATTTCCAGCCACTACCACCGTTTCCAGCACCCCCCCCCCCCCCCCCCCC